TCAATTGATCAATAGAACTTACAAACAATACTTTTATGTTTCCTTTAAGGATATAGTCTCTAATAAAATGATGCTTTATATCTATATGCTTTGCTCTGGAATGATGCAAATAATATTTAGATAGACATATAGCACTAGAATTATCAAAAAATATTTGAACAGGTTTAAAGTATAATTCATAGTCACCCAATTGATGTGACATCTAGAGTAATTGAGCACAATATTGTCCAATTGCAATGTACTCTTTCTCAGTTGTGGAAAGAGCTACTAATCCCTGTTTCTTAATGTTCCAGGAGATTAATGCCTTTCCACTAATTGACAAGTACTACTTGTGCTTTTCCTGTGTTCTTTGTCACCTGCAAGATCAGCAAATGAAAATCCTTCAAGTTTAAAATTGTTAGAACGTGTATACCATAGTCTATAAGAAGTGATTCCAATAAGATAGCGAATTATTCTCTTTACTACAGTTAAGTGTGACTCTTTTGGAGCTGACCGAATCATGTTACATTTACAAACATTGAACATGATATCTGGTCGATTAGCAGTTAGATTGTCAGGACCCGGATTTCCCACCCTCGGGAGTCGTGATGGCGCCTACTAATGTGAGCTAGGCAAGCCAAATTATCGAACAAATAACCTTTTTACCCTTTTAAATAGCAGTTTGAACCTCAACCTCCCAGAACTGGTGTCTAAATAGCAGAAATTTAAAGTAAGCAGAAGAAAAGCAATAAAGTATCTGAATATACATCTAGTACAACAGTTTGAACCTCAACCTCCCAGAACTGGTGTCACAGTATCACAGACGATCTAAGATTTAATACATACAAAGTCTGAAAATAAAAGGTACACTGTTTCTGAACTTAAGGAAATGAAACAGGGATAAAAGGGATAGAGGGAGATGCCAGGGCCTGCGGACGCCTGCAGGTCTACCTTGGATCTCCATGGACTGAAGGTAGTCACCCAATCTACGGTCCAAAAGCTACTCCGGGATCTACACATAGTGCAGAGTATAGTATCGGCACAACCGATCCTATGTGCTGGTAAGTGTCTAGCCTAACCTTGGCAAAGTAGTGACGAGGCTAGGACCAAACTACCAAACAACCTGTACAATTGAACTATATATAGCGGAAAAGAAGAACAATAATAAACAATCAAATATGGGAGGGGTAGCATGCTATGGGGGAGATATCAATTCGGAATAGAAAGACAACAGGTAATTGAAAGAAACGATATATCTCGAATATCAACAAAGAACCAGAAATCAACAAGTGCATGACATCACCCTTCGTGCTTTTACTCTCGTCCTCACCAAAGCAATCAAGTAATGAAAATGTGCACGACATCATCCTTCGTGCTTTTACTCTCTTTCCTCACCATATAATTAATATAATTGGCACGGAATGGCACATCGTGCGACACGACATCACCCTTCGTGCTTTACACTCTTTCCTCACAATCGTACACGGCATCGTCCTTCGTGCTTTAACACTCTCTCACCAAAACAATGCACGGCATCACCCTTCGTGCTTTAACTCTCTTCCTAACCAAAACAACAATCATAAACAATAGGGTAAGGAAATAAATGAAGTTACAACAAGAATTCCGGCAAGGGAACAATAATTCAACAACAAGTCCCAGCAAGGGACAACATCAAAACAATAACAATATCCCAACAAGGGAGCCAAAATAGTGATTTTTTCTCTTTTCTTTCACTTTTACTTCACAACTCACTTTACAACTTGAGCCAACGCTCCAAGGGTTCAATTACCACTTATACTTTCACAATTCATTATACAACTTGAGCCAATGCTCCTCAATGTTCATAGGTCACAATTTCTTCCACAAACTTTGCACAACAAATAGAAATCTTCACCAAAGCATGAATAATACAATGAAGTCATGCAAATCACAATATAAGACTCACGGGCATGCTAGACACCAACGTATAGATACTCGTCACCATGCCTATACGTCGTACTCAACAATTACCACATAGCAAATATGACTCGACTCCTAATCCCTCAAGCTAAGGTTAGACCAAACACTTACCTCGATGCCACGAGCACAATTCACGTCTCAATTATCGCTTTACCCCTTGATTCCACCACCAATTCGCTCGTATCTAGTCAAGAGTTACTTATTTACATCAATAAACGCTAAAGGAATCAATTCTAATGCATGAAAATGAGTTTTCCAAAGTTTTGGCCAAAAAGTCAAAAATTGCCCTCGGGCCCACAACCGAAGATCGAACCAAAACCTGATTACCCATTCCCCCACGAACCCAAATACATAATTTGTTTTGAAATCGGACCTCAAATCGAGGTCCAAATCTCCAAGTTTTTGAAAAAACCTAGGTCCTACCTAAAATATCCAATATTCCCCCATGAAAACCATTGATTTTGAGTTGAAATCATGTTAAAAGATGTTAATGATTGAACAAACGAGTTAAAATTGACTTACAATCGATTTGGAAGAAGAGTTGTTCTTGAAAAATCGCCCTAGGGAGTTTGTGTTTTGAAAAGATGTGAAAAATGATTGATTTTCGGCTAAGTATAAAAATTATAGATTGCAGGTATGGGAATTGCGAACCTCGACCTGTGCTATGTTGGGAAATGCGAACAAAAGATCGCATTTGCGATAACAGGTCCAAGAGCGGTGCATCGCATTTGCGAGGAAGAGCTGACCTGGGCTGTTTCGCATTTGCGAGCCAGGCTTCGCAAATGCAAAGCCTGCAGGCTTGAACACACCAGCTAAAAGCCTGCAATTCACCAAGTTTAAAATCCACCCCGTGGCCTATCCAAAACTCACCCGAGCCCTCGCGGCTCCAAACCGAACATGCACACCAACCTAAAAACATCATACGGACTTGCTCGTGCATTCAAATCATTAAAATAACATCAAAAACTATGAATTTAGCATCAAAATCAAGAAATTTTCTTAAGAACTTCAAATTTCTAATTTTTCCAAAAATGATCTGATTCACGTCATTTCAAGTCCGTTTCTTACCAAATTTCACAGACTTATCGTAAATCACATATAAGACTTGTACCGGGCACCGGAACCAACATACGGGCCTGGTACCATCAAGTTCTAATCACAATTCATTTCCAAATCTCATAATTAATTTCAGAAAATAATTTTCTTTAAAAATTCATTTCTCGGGCTTGGGACCTCTGAATTTGATTCCAGGCATACGCCCAAGTCCCATATTTACCTACTGACCCTCCAAGACCGTCAAACCACGGGTCCGGGTCCGTTTACCTAAAATATTGACCGAAGTCAACTTAATTCATTTAATAGTCAAACATTATCATTTTTCACATATTTTCACATAATAGCTTTCCGGCTACGCGCCCAGACTGCGCACGCAAATCAAGTGATACTGAAAGAGGTTTTTAAGGCCTCGGAATGCAAAATTTTTATTTTAAAATAAGTGATGAACTTTTAGGTCATCACATTCTCCACCTCTTAAACAACCGTTCATCCTCGAACGTATAGAAAAAAGAAGTACCTGAGTCGGGGAAAAGATAGGGATAACGGCTCCACATATCGGACTCAAACTCCCAGGTTGATGCCTCAGCAGGCTGACCTCTCCACTGAACACGAACAGAAGGAAAACTCTTCGATCTCAACTGACAAACCTGCCGATCTAGAATAGCTACCAGCTCCTCCTCATAAGACAAGTCCTTGTCCAACGGGACAGTGCTGAAATCTAACACATGGGATGGATCGCCGTGATACTTCCGAAGCATGGACACATGAAACACTGGATGCACGGCTGATAAGCTCGGCGGCAACGTAAGTTTATAAGCCACCTCTCCCACTCGATAAAGAATCTTAAACGGGCCAATGAACCTAGGGATAAGCTTGCCCTTCTTCCCAAATCTTATCACGCCCTTCATAGGCGACACTTGAAGCAATGCACGCTCACCGACCATGAATGCCAAATCACGAACCTTGCAGTCGGCATAACTCTTTTGCCCGGACTGAGATGTACGAAGCCTATCCTGAATGATCCTGACCTTGTCCAAGGCATCCTGAACTAGATCCGTACCTAACAACCGAGCCTCTCCCGGCTCAAACCACCCAACCGGCGACCGACACCGCCTACCATACAAATCCTCATACGGAGCCATTTAAATACTCGACTGGTAGCTGTTGTTGTAGGCAAACTCTACTAAAGGCAAAAACTGATCCCACAAGCCTCCAAAGTCAATGACACAATTTCGGAGCATATCCTCCAAAATCTGAATGGTCCGCTCGGACTGCCCGTCCGTCTGAGGATGAAACGTTGTGCTCAACTCAACCCGTGTGCCCAACTCTCGCTGAAGTGCTCTCCAGAAATGTGAGGTAAACTGCGTACCTCGGTCCGAAATAATAGACACGGGCACACCATGAAGGCGAACAATCTCCCAGATATAGATCTCATCTAACCTCTCCGAAGAATATGAGACTGCCACATGAATGAAATGCACTGAATTGGTCAGCCTATCAACAATAACTTACACTGCATCGAACTTCCTCTGAGTCCGTGGGAGTCCAACAACAAAGTCCATAGTGATACGCTCCCACTTCCACTCGGGAAGCTCAATCCTCTGAAATAAACCATCGGGCCTCTGATGCTCGTACTTAACCTGCTGATAATTCAAATACCGAGCCACATACTCAACGATATCCTTCTTCATTCTACTCCACCAATAATGCTGCCGCAAATCCTGATACATCTTAGCGGCGCCCAGATGAATTGAGTACCGGGAGCTATAAGCCTCATCTAAAATCAACTCTCGAATCCCATCCACATTAGGCACACAAACTCGACCCTGCAACCACTATAACAAAAAAGGTTTTTAGTGGCAATTATTTAGTGGCAATAACTTAATTGTCGCTAATTTATTCTGTATAAGCCAATATTAGTGGCAATTGAATATTTGGCGAGAATAAGTACTTTTTATCAGCAATTAAAAACACTTGCCACTAAAACTTACGCCTTTTACTATAACTCTAACAATTCCAAGAGCGGGACCTGTTTTCACAATCTCTCCAAATTGTTTTTCATTTCCCTCCTTAATATTAATTAACTATTTTTTTTATCTTTTATTCATCAATATCCTAGAGGAATGACAAATGAAAATCAACCGAAACCCTAACACTCTACATTCATTTCTATTTACTGCTGGATCGGTTACTCTGGTATTTATCATTAACTTCATCTTCTTTCTCTTTTGATTACTACTTGAGAAAGATTCATTATATTTTTAATAAATTAATGAAGAACATCAAAAGAGTTTGAAGCTCTGTTGTTGAATAGCTATTCCACTTCTTCTTCTGCATCGTCAATCGAGAAACCGATGGGCATACTATTTTTCTAAAATTGAAGGAGCCAAAAGTTGCGCCTCTGAACTTAATGTCCCTTCTAATATTTTTGTTTTATGTATTCTGATAAATGGCAAATGTTTATTAGAGATTTTTTTAAATAATTTTCTGCATCGGGTGCTTTGCGAATTATTATTATTGATTTTCTACAGAATTTATTTTTCTTTGATTTTATAGTCACGTTCTTTTGGCTGTAAAATTCATTCTCATGAGAATGAAATTTTCTCTTGGAATATTGCAGATCTGGAAAAACAATATTGAGAAAATTTATCTAAAACTAGTAAGAAAGAATGCTTCAAAATGATAATGAATAGAAAGAACTTTGGATATATAATTTCTCTAAATAGTCTGAAAACTTTGATTGTTGCTAACTAAGTGTGCAGATTAACCATTAACCATGTGCAATTCCCCCAATTACTTTAGATGATATTTGTTTTAAGTTTGCAACCTGACTTTGGAAACTCGGCGTTCAAGTATTTTTATAAGTGTCGTTTTATTTGTTTTGCCCCAAAAAATTATTTTTCCCAGATATTTCTAACCTTAGTTTTGAAATCTTTCAAAAACTCAAATATTAGTCATTAGTTGCAATTCATGTTCCAAACGGTGGGAGTAAAATTTTAGCAAGATGGCTGAATTCTATATGTGTACTTTCATGTAATTCCTCTCGATGAAGTTAGACCTAAATTCTAGAAAGGACTTCAACATGGAATGTCTTCTCTCCAAGGATTTAAGTCGGGGCAAACTTATGCTATAATTGTTAATTATTGTTGTGACAATATCAGATAATTCAATCCATTGGATCTTACATCATACTAACAGAAGTAGATGCAAAGTTATGAAGCATGTTTAGAGGAAAATTTAGTTCATCTAGATTTGTCGAGAAGAGCTAGAGTCAGATTGTACTGAAAAACTCTGCAGTACAAACCTTATTCCTATTTCAAGTTGAAATAGTTGTTTAATTGTGGCATAATGACTTATTGCCTCATGCATATAAGCTTCATCATCCTTTTCTCCTTTTTGGTTGTAGCCTTTCATACTCATATTTTTCTTTTTAAGAATCATTCTGTTTAATATAGTTTTATTGCTTAATCCCATTCTTTTTTTTTACATTCTTTTATTTGCTTCATGCGAGAAGATAGTAATGACATTTCAAGACTAACCTTTGTTGCACTCTTGGTTGGTGTTATAGAGTATCATCTATTGTATTTTTATTTTTTATCTTAGCGACAAGGTGGGTGTGGCCCCTATTGAGGAAAAGATGCAGGAAGCGTGGCTTAGGTGACTTGGTCATGTGAGGAGGAGTAGCTCTCATGAGAGTTAACGACGAAAGATAGTAAGACAATTATTGTTGTGATTGGTGATATACTGTTTTATTTCCCTTCATGCACAGATAGATCAGAAACTATCACAAGATACTAGACAAGCTATTTGTAATGTAGTGCAAAAGCTAAATACTAATCTTCTTGTACTAAATTTTCATGAAACCTGAAAGCTTAAAAGATTTGTTTCCTATCCATGATGTTACTGTTGCTGCAATTGTTGGATAAGTTTCTGCTGCTGAGATTACTTAGTTCATCTTCAATGGAATTAGTTTTATTGTTAATTAGTCTTCTCATTCTCTTCAAGATTCTTATGTCTATATTATTAAGATGATGTTCCATAGAGAAAAATTAGTTTGTAACATCTAACTTGATTATCGGCACAGAGTTTGGGGAGATTTTCTTAAGCTTACATTGGAGGTAGGCTTATACATTAAAATATTTAACATACTTATCTGGTGCACTTGTCTCCTAAAGTGTTGATTTTTATAATAGGTTCTCGATGCAAATAGCTGCCAGGAACGAGCTACATAAACGTCATGAATGCCATTTCAAAGTAAAGATTCCTTCTTTTTTTAATTTAAATTTATATTGCTTATCTCTGTCATGCAACTTGCTATCTCTATAATATTCATGGTATAATAAGAGAAATATGTAGTAGTTAACTCCTTGATTTTAGTCATACTGCTAGTCTATTAGGATAGCGATGTTAACCAATTTCCACATGTTCCAGATTATTTGAAACTTCTAAATTCATTAATATGATTGGAACTATGATGTAATATGTTGGTGAATGCAATATGAGTTGCTTATTTTTCCTTTTCTTTTCTTTATCCACTTTTTTCATATTTTATTTCTACCTTGTTTTTATTCTATTATTCATCTTTTTCGTCCTTCTCGAGTTCGATCAATAGCATATACAGAATTGAGTTTGTCCAACATTCCCCAGTGATGTGAACAAAATTTTGGGTAACTAATTTTAAATAGCTATTTTTTCCCACGATCATATATTCGTATATGTATATTCTTCAGAGTCACTCCTTATTGGAATGTATCTTCTGATTCTAGTTATGAAGATTATTGTAACACCCCGCATATTCAGATTAGGTATGAATAAGTTAAATGAGTAGTAAGGTTATATTTTGGACATATTAAGTCCTATCGGGATGATTATGGGTGAAAATAGTAGTTTCAAAATCAAGAAGGAAAGTGAGGTGCATAAGATTTGACAAAATCGACCAAGTTTGCAAAAGGTTCGTATTCCAGTAGGTTTTGGTGAAAATGTGTAAGGAATTTAGGAAAACGCAAAGCATGAAAGTTGTAGGCTTTTGAAATAGCTTTCCAACAATATATTATGGAGCTCAAACGGATCTCTGTACAAAAGGTTATGTGCATTTTACAGAACAGTATATAATATGCGCGCCCGGTAGCGCGACCGCGCTAATTTTGAAGCAGTGTTACTGCCGTTTAGCGCGGTTAGTAGCGTGGACAGGTCTCCAGGTGCGCGAGCGCGCTCGTGGGGGGTCGTTTTAAAGCTATATTTCGTTCCCCACAACCCCAAAACATAAAAACTTGCTCTAGAAAGGGGAACTCTCAAAAACCTAACTCCTTGAGGGTCCTTCCACCACCCAAGGTAAGTTCTAATGGTGATTCTAAGTCAATTTAAATTTTCCAACATCTTATTAACATGGGTAAAACCTCAATATCATTAGATATACAATTAGGACATCATTGTTGAGAGAAGGAAGCTTAGAACTCGAATTTAAGAAGATTGAACGTCAAAAAAGGTAATGTCTTCACCCTCTAATTGGTTCTAGCATTGGTTTAATGATTATAAACTCTAGTTCATGAGATATGAGTTGATGGTTTTGATAGAAAAGCATGAACGGTGATAGGTTTGGGTTGTTGATTGGTTATTATTGGTTATGGGTGTTGATTACGTTATGGGTGATAAAGAATGATGTTGATTATAACCATTTGAGACTTTAGAATTTATCTAGAAGCAAGAGAATGGGTTATTGGGTGTAGAGACACCATTAATAAGGGCTATGAAGCTTTATGCCACCAAGTGTTTGATAAAATGCCTAAGTGACCAAAACATAAGTATTATTGCTAATATGGAATACCTTTGACTTGTATTTATATAGATTGAAGTTGAACGGATTGGCGAATGTTGTATTACGATCAAGAACAAGAAGTTAAGGTATGTGAGGCTAACTCTCTATGTTTGAGAATCTTAATGATTCTCCCTACATTACGTTTCTTTTACGACGTACCAATTACCTCAGAAGTATAGTTAAGACTAGTTCCTTGAATAGTTGTAGAACTCCTATTCTCTAGCTTCGTAACTCGTTCATGACTTTCATTCTGAACGTTGTGAGCTCAATTCGTATTCAATATAGAATTGGGCTTGATGTCCCTAAGTCTCAGTATAGCTGACTTAGCATGTCATAAACAGTTGAAGTTTCAGTGTTCATAACCAGTTCAAGAATACATGTCTCATTCTAGTCCTATTCAGTATTCCAGTATTATGTAACTCAGTATGATTCAATATTCCAGTATTATGTAACTTAGTATGATTCAGTATTCGAGTATAATGTAACTAAGTGTGATCCAGTATTCCAGTATCATATAACTCAGCGTGATTCAGTATTTCACTATTATGTATTNGCGTCCTTTCAGTTCAATTATTAGTTACTGTTCAGTTATCTGCTATCATATCAGTTACCAGTTATCAGTTCAACTACTAGTTATCAGTTCAGTTACCAGTTATCAGTTATCATTTCAGTTTCAGTTTGAATAGTTATCATTTCAGTTATCAATTATAAATTCTCAATTATCAGCTTAGTTTCAATTTCAGCATTTATTATTCTTTCTTCCAGTTGCTTGATATACCAGTGCAATTCAAATGTACTGATGTCCCTTTTGCCTGGGGCTTGCATCTCACGATGCAGGTAATGATTTACAGGTTGATGATTCAGAGCACTAGGATTCTTGTACCAGCTATTTGGTGATCCCTAGTTTTTTCGGGGCATTATCATTACTACAGTCTTTAGTATTTTTAGACAGTCAATGTTTTCATTACTTCATTAGAGACTTCATAGACTAGAGTAACAGTTAGACAGAGTCATAGGCTTTTCATATTAAGCTATGTTGGCTACAAATATGTTTCAGAATTGTATTAGTATTTCCACTCTTTGATTTATATCATCCAGACTTTCAGTATATCAGCATGTGTTAGTTTATCTTCCGCATTCAGTATGTTATGATACCACATATTGATTCAGCTAGCCAGTTGGTTCGCTCGGTCATATATAGTCAGGCACCGATTGTCGTGTTACGTCCAGGCCTAGGTTCGGGGCGTGACAATTACGAGGATAGTCCAGTACCCAAGGTGAGAAAGATCAGAAGCACCAAAGCTACTATTACTTCTAGATCAACTCTATCAAGTACCAAAGCGGTAAGTAGAAAGGGAGTGAACATACATATGATAGGGGACTATGAGAAACTCAAAGTTGGAGGCATGGATACCTCTGAACCTCATTCACGTGGTATAGGAAAAAAATATGGAGAATCTTCCATCAAGGTATTTGAGTGCTTTACTCTGCTCCTAATTTTTTAAATATTTAATTAGTGTTTATGGTTTTAGTGAACTTGGCCTTGAAATCTAGAATAATTTCTATTAAAATGGTAGGAGGTCATTTTTATGCATTCTTGAACAAGTTGTATATAATAAGTATCATCTCAGCACTCCCTCGTTAACTTTTAAGTAGGAACTGCTAGGATTACTCTTTAATTGACCAAAAAAAAGCAAAACTGATTTGTATTTGTACTGGTCTAATATGGTAATGTCTTCTAAAAGAAATAATTTTAGAAAGTCAAATAAGAAAATTTATACAAATATTATCAATATTTATTTATCTTACTTCATAAAAAATTATCAGTATTTGTTTACCAACAGACATCAAACATTCATATACCAAACAGATACCAAACATTTCATTCTAGTGACCGACTATAAGTAAATTTATATAGTATAAAAAGAATCAAGTAATGCCATCTATCGTATTGATCAGACAACTAAAAATAAAAACTTTATTATATTTTTAGCTTGGTCTAGATTCATATTTGATTTTTATCATTTTACATAGTCGCTAATGAGTGGCAGCCTGAGCATGTGGTCTTGTTAGTTTAGAGTACAAAAGTAAGCAGTTTTGTGAAAAATTAACTTAAAATTTTTGTTGTCACATGGTATAGATTGTTGAGATCCTTAAAGATCGACCTTGTGTTGTTAATTAGAATTTGTTTTGAGGTTCTTTATTTGTGTGTGTTGTGTTGGTTTCAAAGTCTGCACGCAAAACATATAAGTAAATAAGGAACACAATGCTTTGACAGTTAGCACTTACTAAAGTTGCCAGTGCATGCTTTGTTGCTAAATTTCATAAGTTTCACTGGGAATTCTTAAGTCTATTTTATGATTATTGATTTTAAAGTAATTGTGCAATTATCACACTAGTCATAGCTTACGACTACAACAAAAGAAATGCTAATTTTGTGCTTTGATTTGTTTTTTATAAAGGTAGTGCAGTACACAAGGCATATAGTCCAGGAGACTAGTGGCGAGGTAGTATATGGCATGATAAGGCAAACATCTATTCTTTGAACGCTTGACCAGAGATTAAGAAGTTGTTCAGATATCTGGCATGTGAAAAATTTCATCATGATCAAGAGTTGGAGAAACTTCCATGTGGCCATTTATATATAGTATTATAGCTATTTGATAATGTCAGTTATTAGATGCTAAATTACGCTAGTTATTAGATTCAAATATGTTACCTTTTTGGTTATGTTGTTGACACTTTAAAATTATAAAATAGTAGATTTTGTTGCGTATTTAATTAAGTGTAATAATTTTGTTGAGAATGACTCTTATTCTTATTATAATTAAATTTCAATATGCATAATGTGCATTATATGTTATGAAAAGAAACTTTCTTAATGCTTACTTGCAATAAGAAAGCTCATTATGAAGTCCTTTTTGCTGGCAACTAAATGGATTCTTACCGGCCATAACAAAAGCCTTTGAATATATGAACAAAGGCCAACTCATATATAGTGCTAGTGCCCATAACATTTGCTGTTAAAAGGACTCTTTTTACCGGCAATTGAATGGGTCTTTCTGGCAATAACAAAGGCCATAAAATATATAATATTGGATATCTTAGGGGATATTTAGTGGCCATTTTATCGGTAAATAATTACCGCTAAAACTAAAGTACTTTTACCGGCAATAAAAGAGATCTTTACCAGCACTTCGTGCAATGGCTGCTAAAACCTTTAGCGATGCTGGCTGCACCGGCCAAAACTTAATTGCCGGTAAATATATTAGCAGCAAATTTTATTGCCGCTAAAGAGCATATTAATTTCCGCTAAAAGACATTTTTGTAGTAGTGAACCTCAAAACTCTATCATCTCCTAAGGTAACTTGCGTGGTACCTCCACCTTGCACCATGTCTCTAAGGACACATAAATGGGGATCAACATATTGCCGATCTCGGACACACTCTAATAAAGAAGAATGAGCGACTGTGCAAGCTAACACACAACTGGGCTCAGAAACATCCAACCTCATGAACTGATTGACCAAAGCCTGAACATCCAAAGCAAGCGATCTCTCACCGACCGGAATATAAGCATGACTGCCCATACTGGCTAACTTTCTACTTAAGGCATCAGCCACCACATTGGCCTTTCCTGGATGATATAAGATGGTGATATCATAGTCCTTCAACAACTCCAACCACCTCCTCTGCCTCAAATTTAACTCCTTTTGCTTGACCAAATACTGCAGACTCTTATGATCCGTGAATACCTCACATGACACACCATACAGATAATGCCTCCAAATCTTCAACGCGTGAACAATGGTGGCTAACTCAAAATCATAAACTAGATAGTTCTTCTCATGAATCTTCAACTGCCGCGAAGCTTAGGCAATGACCTTTCCATCCTGCATCAACACTGCACCAAGTCCAATACGAGATGCATCACAATAGATTGTATAAGGCCCTGAACCTGTGGGCAAAACCAACACAGGTGCCGTAGTCAGAGCTGTCTTGAGCTTCTGAAAGCTCGCCTCACACTCATCCGACCATCTGAACGTGGCACCCTTCTGGGTCAACCTGGTCATCGGGGCTGCGATAGATGGAAACCCCTCCACGAACCGACGATAGTAGTCTGCCAATCCCAAGATACTCCGAATCTCTGTAGCTGATGCTGGTCTAGGCCAGTTCTTGACGGCCTCAATCTTCTTTGGATCAACCTGAATACCCTCTGCCTATACAACATGACCCAGGAATGCAACTGAACTCAACCAGAACTCACACTTCGAGAACTTAGCATATAACTGGCTATTGCTCAAGGTCTGAAGAACCACTCTAAGATGCTGCTCGTGCTCCTCCTGACCGCGGGAATAGATCAAAATATCATCAATGAAGACTATCACAAATGAATCCAAGTAAGGCCTGAACACTCGGTTCATCAAATCCATAAAAGCTTTTGGGGAATTTGTCAACCCGAATGACATCACCAAGAACTCATAATGCCCGTACCGAGTGCAAAAAACTGTCTTAGGGACATCAGATGCCCTAATCCTCAACTGATGGTAGCCAGATCTCAAGTCAATATTCGAAAATGCCTTGGCACCTTGAAGCTGATCAAACAAATCATCAATCCTCAGCAATGGGTACTTATTCTTGATTGTAACCTTGTTCAACTGCCGATAATCAATACATATTCTCATCGATCCGCCCTTCTTCTTAACAAACAATACCGGCGCACCCCAAGGAGAAACATTCGGCCTAATGAAACCCTTCTCAAGCAAGTCTTGACACTACTCCTTCAAATCTTTCAACTCAGGCGGGGCCATACGATACGACGGGATAGAAATGGGCTGAGTGCCCTGAGCCAAATTAATGCAAAAGTCAATATCCCTGTCGGGTGGCATACCCAGCAGGTCTGAAGGGAATACCTCAGGGAACTCACGAACAATGGGCACAGAATCAATAGATGGAACTTAAGCACTAGAATCACGAACATAGGCCAAATAGGCCCAACACCCCTTCTCGACCATACGTCGAGCCTTCACATAAGAGATAACACCATGGGTAGAATGACCAGGAGTCTCTCTCCACTCTAAACGAGGTAAACCCGGTAAGGCTAAGGTCACAGTCTTGGCATGACAGTCCAAGATAGCGTGGTAAGGTGATAACCAGTCCATCCCTAATATGACATTGAAATTGACCATGTCCAGAAGAAGCAAATCTATACGAGTCTCAAGACCTCCAATCACAACTATACATGAACGATGGACTCGATCTATCACAATAGAATCACCCACAGGTGTAGACACATAAATAGGGGCACTCAAAGAATTACTAGGCATGACCAGATACGGTGCAAAATAAGATGACACATATGAGTATGTAGATCCTTGATCAAATAAAACTGAAGCATCTCTGCTACAAACCAGAACAGTACCTGTAATAACTATATCAGAAGCCTCATCCTCGGGCCTGGCTGGAAGAGCATAACATCGGGGCTGGGCCCCACCACCCTGAACTACATCTTTGGTATGGCCTGCTGCTGGCTGGCCTCCACCTCTAGCGGCCTGAGCTCCACCTCTAATACCTCTACCTCCACCTCTAGAACCTCTACCCCCACCTCTAGCTGGCTGGGCGGGTGGTGGAACACCTGGTGCCTAAACCATGGCACGGGAACCCTGATGCTAAGAGCTACTCGGTGCTCGAGGGCAAAACCTAGCAATGTGACCCATATCACCACAAGTGTAACAAGCCCTCGGTTGCTGAGGCTACTGACCTTAACGACCTGAATGACCACACCAAAAACTCTGAAGTGGCAGTGCACTGATAGGAGCTGGTGGTGCACTGTAGTACTGCTGATCAGAATACTGCATCTGAGGACCACGGCCACCTAAAGCACCATGAGAAACCTGAAGTGCTGATTGAAAAGGCCTAGGAGGATGGCCTCTACCATATGAATACCTATCTCCAGATAAGGTATTACTGAATCGGCCTAAATGACGAGGCCTCTTGTCAGACCCTTGACTACCTCCCTGCGACAGAACCATCTCAACTCTCCTGGCCACATTG